CCCCCGAAAAAATAAATAAATGAAAATCCAGAAAACAAAAAGCAAAAACAAAAACAGAAAGAAAACGAAATAAACAAAAAAACAAAAACAAAAACAAACAAAAACAAAACACGACCAAGATCAACGGACAGTTCTCGCATGAGATAATCTGACACAATTTATCGTTGCGTGTAACTTCTGTAACCGGAGCCTAAGGAGTGGCCACCACAAGCATTGGATCTTACTCCACTTGACTTTTTCTTATGGAGGCATTTAAAATCGGCTGTGTACATGAAACGTCCACGCTCTCTTGGCGAATTGAGCCATGCAACATCCATCTAGATACTCTAAGCCAGTGTTTATAGTGGCGGCGGGTTTCGAGAAATCGCACACCCGGCCGGTTAGAACAGCGCGAGAGAGTTGTGTGACACACTCTTTTCTGTAAGCGTACATATGATAGTCAACGCGTAGGTGTAGGCGCAGCTAATTTGCCGCCTGGCGGGTCAAGTTACCAGAACCAACTTATAGTTCTTGACACACGTCTCGCGCCGGGGTGTGTGATCTGTAACCAACTTTTGCTCCAGTGTGATCTCTGTAGCAACTGGGCTAATCGTAATTCGTGCCACGCTCTGGGTAGAAGATTCTTTGTTTTGTTTTAGTAGAGGTTTTACGGCGCTCTCGCAACTGCATAAAGTCATTAGAGCGCCAAGGGGTGGATGTTAACAAAGAAGTCCTTTCAGGGAATCAGACTTACTCTGCTCACCTCTCTAGCTTCAGCAGCACAAAGTCTGCTTCGACTTTCAAGGCACCCCAGAAATAGCGGGTCACAAGAGTGTGACTAACATACAAAAGAAGTAGAGGAAAAAGACGATAGGATTGGAAAAGAAAAAGCAGCAGTTCCCTGTTGTAGTTCAGGCACAGAGTTATGAGCATTGCATAATTAGATCAGTCCATTTACATTTCTACTGTGCACTAGAACGAGAAATGTCCCCCCTTTGGAAATGGCCTAAAGACACTTCAGTCACCGCCCGGGGGGGGGGGGGGGGGGGGGGGGGTTAACAGATTCTACCTTCTTCAAAACGTAGTCAAATGTATTAAGAATCATTCGTGTATAAGAATGAAATCTCTCTGGGTAAACCATCAATTGGAGAAAAAGGTGGTGGTATTCACCGTCGATAAGTCTGCTTTTGTTTATCTCGAGGACGCTACTTGTCCTCCTTCTTCCAAAGCCCAGTAGAAGAAACCTCATGAAACTGCTGTCTACAAACAAAAAGTCTTCTTCTAATTGGTCGCTTTTAAAAGCACAGGGGGGGGGGGGGGGCTATCCCGAAACATGCTGTTTTGAGAAAATCGAATTAAAGTTTTTGCCCCTTGTTCAGTTTCATTAATATACAAGGGGAGTTATCTCTATAACCAAACAATTATGCACACCAATGAAACAAAACTTCTCTTATAAATAGGTAGGGCAATGCCCACTTTTGGAGTAGGTTAGGATTTCTGGAAAATCCCAAAATCCGGGTTAGCCCGCTGGTCCTTAAAAGCGACCAATTATTGTCTGTGTTGGGAGTTTGGAATTCATTCAGAACAGATTGACCCCTACAGACAGTGTCGACGCAGCGCTTTTCCCTTTCGTCAACCCGCAGCCACCTCCCAATCGTCAGCCACCCCCAACCTTTGACACGGGTCAAACTTCCATCTATTTATAGGTAGTTACCGGAACATGTATAGGTGAAGTGATGTGCCGTGATAGTCGCGATATATTATTTATTGAGATGGTTTTGGTCTCTCTTTACTCATCACCACGAGAATTTCTTGAAGTTTTTCCCTGGACTCTGCCTTTGCTAAAATCTCGAATCTAGATCTAGATCTAGAGTTGTAATCTAGTGGCAGGTTGCAGATTTCTGTTGTTATCCAGTACATTCGTACATTCCAGAGATTAAATAAATTGGACTAGACTCTAGTAGTAGACTCTTCTTCTTCTACTTCTAAACCTTCGAGATTACAAAGGCCAAGCCTAGGCTTGTAAGGATTCGTTTTGTTAAAAGTGTTGTTTAACACAAAGTCTATGAAGTTAGCAAACCTAACACATTGTTTTCTAACGAAATGATGCTTAAATTGACTTTTATATTGTCAATAAGAGATCAAGTTTAATCACCTAATCATTTAAGTAAGGAAGTGGCTATTGCTATCCTCGCCCGGGGTGAGAATAAAAACCCTACGATTGACCTCTCACCCCGGGTGAGACTTGCCAGCGTTGGCTATTCTCACCCAGTGTGAAACAAGACCTGTTTTTCCTAATTTCGAAATACTTTCTATCGATGTGGATGATCAAACTGACAAAGGCAAAGAAAAAATGACGTTATAGCACAAAAGTAAGCTAATTTGATCGTCTACAAAGATGCTATGGCTCTTTCACTTTTCGAATCGACCGAACTACGCGGGTCACCATTTTGTTTTGCCCGAAAGTTCTCGCAAGATCTACTCCTCCCCCTTCTCTCTCTCTCTCTCTCTCTCTCTCTCTCTCTCTCTCTCTCTCTCTCTC